GGTGAAATTTGGACAAATAGAGGACCAGACATATTATTTAGCACAAGCGCTGACAGATCTTGTTGGCCAAAGTAGTTTCTCCTACACAAAGTGTAGTGAAACTACGCAAAGGGAAGGGTGAGCAGTCACTACACGCTGGTTGCAATTCATAACCCTCACACTAGATGCCACTAAAACTTACACACTGAACCCTTTACGTTTGTTATATTATGCATTTTTGTGATCTAAAGTTACTGTTGATTACTGTAAGTTTCTCAAATGTAAAATATATTTACATCAGCATATCACAAAATGTGTTTATGAATTGGCCTCAAAAACATAGTATTCATCAGGCTCTAATCGTTAGGCATATTATGTTTTCCCTTTTCCAGTCACGTAACTAATTTGCATATCTGGTATTGCATAGGTGAAGTTTTCCTTTGTTGGGGATTTTACACATAAATAGGAATATTATATATCAGACAAAACCAGGACAGCAAGATGTCATACCAAATTTTGGTGTGGCTGCACTATTGTATCTGGAGCACTTCCTATTTATTTAAGAACCTTGTTGCAATCCCTGTGATATTTTGTATTAAACATTTTAGGATAGATTTACTGTTGGCTGGCATTTGTCACAAATGTTTTGTTTCTCATAATATAGGCTGGACCAGTTTTGTGTCCTAGTAGAGGTCACGCCTGTTGTCTACCTGAGTCTCTGAACCCTCATTATTCAAGGAGAAAACGCACACATAATCACAAGAGGAGACAGAGAGAGGAAAGCCATTATTTAGGGTAAAGCAAACCTGAGCAGAAAGGCCAAAATAGAAAGAGGCGTTGCCTCTGCCTTCAGCCGGCTATCTCTTACCAAAACACCAACTTCAATGTCAGAGCTGCAAGCCTGCGAAAAGCTACCTTGTGCAGGAAACTGGCCCATCTAGGTTAAGGTTCCAGAGAAGCAGCAATTTACTGGCTAAGCGATGATTATTTAAAATGTACGGATCAATGGCTTGGACGTGGAGTATGGTGCAGGAGTGGTTTGAGAGCCTTTTCTGGCCAATGTGATCCTAACCAGTTTTGAAGTTACTCTGGGGCCTCTAACCCCGGGTTGGCATAGCTTTTAGTTGCCTGCGGCAGTGAGGAGAGGTGCAAAGCTGGCGGCGAAGCCATAATAACACAACAGATCTGTAAAATTTGAAGTACATTTCCCTACCACTCCTGACAGAACTCACTCGGCCGTTATCTTAGAATATAAGGAAGGGCGTCTCCTATGCTGTCAAATTGTATTTCTTAACTGGCCTTTTAACAAGCTCCATTAACAATGTGGATAAAAGAAATAACAATGACCCTGCAAGTTGAAAATTGTTTTGATTTTTGATTTGTTATTATATTTCTTTGTCAAGAAAAGGCCAGGAGATACGTGTTATTGTCAGAAGATCTGCCCTGCTCTTCTCTCAAATGTGGTTATCCTTATCCATCTGTGTCTCATTTCTCCCTGTTGTCCCTCTTTGTCTAGTTGATAAAAGCAGCAGTAGCAGCAGCGTGGTGAAGCAGGGTGCGATGGAGCAGCGTGAGGGGCCCGGGGCCGATGGACACCCTGCCACGTTGAGCTGACACCCTGTGAGCTCCGGCTGTACACTCTGGACAGCAGCGCCAACCGCCAGCTGGGCACCGCCTACTCTCTGTCACACTGCCAGAGCGTCATCTCCCCGGCACCCAGCAGCCAGCCAGGCCAGATCACCCAGCCCGTCGATCAACGCACGCTCCAGGCTTTGTTCTTCAACAGCACGCGTCTTCAGCTGAGGGCAGCCAACCAATGGGAGGCCATGGAGTGGAGGCGGCTGATGTGGGAGAAGGTGCAGGCGGCCAGAAATGTGAGGCAGGAGAACCACCAGCGTAAGACCGGAGTGGAAAAGCAACAGGTCGTCAAGTTTCCTGCACCCATGTCACCCTCCTCGTCGCCCTCTCCATCAGGGCTCGACACCAGGCCTGATGGTGACAGCGACACTCCCACCTCAGCAGAGGCGTCACTCTCTCTCCAGCCTAGTTCTGGCGTCCTGAGCAGACCCACCACCCTGCCTCTGTTCACCCAACGCTGCCAGGACATCCTCAGAGCAGGTCTGCTCCACCAGCTGATGGATCAGAACAACTGGCGGGCCTTTACCTTCGTCTTGACCAGATCTGCTCTCCGGGCCTTCCCTACTGAGGGCCGTGGGTCTGTGTCTCAGCCTGTCCTCCAGTACTCCCTGGCTTCCTGCTTGGCAGTTCAGCACGATCAGGCCAGAGAACGGAGAGCCGTGGACAGATAGAGGGGACTGCTTCCAGGTCGTTTTCCCCAAAGTGGTAGTCAGACTTAGGGCGGATGATCAGCTCAAAGCCCAGGAGTGGGTGGAGGCCCTGCGGGAGGCGGCCAGAGCGCAGAGGCCTGCCCAAGAAGAAGGGGGGGAGTCAGGAGAAGGCGCTCCAGGCCTCCAGGGAGTGCTGCTGAGATCAAAACCAACCAGGGATAGGAGACAGCGGGAGGCTCAGAGAGCCAAGCGGCAGTCAGTCACCACCAGTTTCCTCAGTATACTCACCTGCTTGGCTGTGGAGAAGGGGCTCACTGCTCAGAGCTTCAGGTGTGCAGGTAAATGACCTACACACACATACACACACACACATACACACACACAGACACACACTGTTGTATAAGAAGATTACATGGCAGTGAGATCATTAAATATTAGCCGTGTTTTTCTCTATTTTCCTTTCAACACAAATTTACCCACCGAGGGGTAGACATTTCAACATGGCATCCTCAATCTCAAGACTCCTCACCTAACTGCCTCCCAAGACAGTGTGTTAAGGGTATACAGATACATTATCACACACACATTGTTTGAGTCTGAAACAGAGGTCAGTTATACCTTCAAATCCTGCTGTTCTGAAACATGGTCCTCTTCCATGGTCCCCTCAAGAAAGTGCGACTGCTTACCGCCATTGCCATGAAATAAGACTAGACCCTGTTTTGATTTCACTTGCTAATAGACATTTTCCAGTAAACCCTCCCCCAAAAAAAATTTAAGAAAAAGATCATGTGGGGCATCCCCGTAGCTTAGGGGTTTAGATGCCAACCATGAACCGCAGTGTCCCTGGTTCGAGTCGTGTTTGACTGTTGGTAAGCATTCTTAACATATTCCCAAAAAATAGAACAAAAGTGTCAATTCAGGGCAGAATTATTGAGGAAAATATGAGAAAGTAAAATTGGATAATATCTTTCTGAAGCTGTGTTCCAGATCCACACTATTGTTTATACTATAATATAAAGCCTACTAATCTTCACACTAGTGCTGAACAATTAATCGATATCTTATTAAAATTACAAAAGGGCCTACAGCAATTTTCAAATTGCAGGAGCTACAATATTTGTTAAAGGCAAAATGTGTATGAAAATATCGTAATGCTGCACAGATGTCCTGGCCTACACATCATGTTCTACATACTGAAGAATACATCTTTGTTGGTGCAGATCTTTGCGAAATTCACACCATAATCATTTAAATATGTTTTTCAGTGAAAATGAGAATAAGTATGTAAAAATGATTGTTCTCTCCATTTTGTGGCAAATCATATCGCAATTGCAAAATAATTGTAACCCTTCTTAATACCATACTTTTAGCACACAAAATTAATGTAAATTACTATTTTATTCACAACGTGTGCCAAAGAACATTTCAAACCTGGATTTTGTCATCATGCCACTGCCCACAAATAGTTTTAAAATTGCTTCGCAGCCATGTTATATTAAAGTGAAATGTTGAATGTCTCAGTAGAATATTTGTGTTTTCTCTGACAATGTATGATAAACATCCCCTCAAAGATCCCCTTCAGACATTTTTTGACAGAGAAGACATGAAAATATACTTGTGTTTTCTACCTTGGTAAACATTTTTTAAATGAGTCTGCTCATTGAAAAATCCAGAATCTATGAATTCTGTGAATGTGCAGATTTTTTTTTTAATTAACTGCTGGACACACAATGTCAAAACCTCACAGTCAATGAATGAGAAGGAAAACATGTGTCATGTCCTTATTTGATATGAACCCAATAAAGCATTTCAAGTGGTTTTATTGTTTTTATCTTTAACAGAAATGCGTAGAATGTTGTCTCTTCAAATTCATCTATACCTTTTCCTATCAATCTGCAGTTTTGGGTGTTTTTTCAGAATTTAGTCTTTACTCTTTTCCCTATCCTGAACCAATACTGCCTCTCTCCTCCTAAATTATTACTCCTGTTCGTCTCCATACCAGCCTCTTGGACATAAATGGCAGGCGGTGCTTTTACTCTCCCTGGGTGTGAAACGTGGGCTTCCTCCCTCTCTCTTAGGAGGGCTTTGAATAATCACCGCTCACCTCCCTTTTTATTTGTAACAACTGGCTTATTAATGCAGGGCTGTTTGAAAGGCCAGCTGAAACGGGAACAAGGACAGAGGCCGTCTAGGGGCAACTGATGATAATTGGTAGGCTTAAAGCACCGGAGGAGAGGAAAAATGGATGAATGAATGAATAAATGAGAACGAATGAAAGCGGCCTGGGATGCTACAGTGGTCAGGCTTGATCGTAGTTGTTTGATTGAAGGGTTTCTGGGTAGAGCTGGATGGGAGGGACAGCTGGATACGTCCATTTTTTATACAGAGCACACCTCTGCTCGCTCAGTCCATTTATTTCCCTCCTTTTCTTCCCTTTTTTTTTTTTCCTTTCACCAGTTCATTCACACTCACAGCCTTTCCCCTCTTTGTCTCCATTTCTCCCTCTGTCCACCCCCCTCCTTTATTTGACTGTATCCCTTCTTAGTCTCCTGCAGTGTTCCTTTGCAGGTCCTGAAAACAGCCTTTTACACCGTTTCAATTTGAGGCTTTAAAATTGCATTTAAGTCCACGAGTTATTGTTAAGGTCTTGTGTTTTTATAGGATTCTACTTTTAATTTCATTTGGGAAATTTGTCTTTAAAATTCAAGCTCACCAGCTTTAAGTTGAACTGGACACAGCATAGCCTATCTCCCTCTTTACTGGTTTCTATTCTCTTCTACCCTGGGCCTCACCTCTGGTAGTGTGCCAACTCCTTTTTATTTAGATGAGGTCCAATTTTTCTGTGCTAAACAAATAGACATCTATACCTGTTCCTGTCAATCTGTCAGACTGTCAGAGAAAGAACTGTTTAAGAGAAAGGGAGGGAGAGGTTTGAAAGATATATACGCTAGTCATTGCTGAAATGTTTATTCAGTGAATTGTTTATGTATCAATCAAAGTGTCAAACTTTTCCTGACTCCAGCTTCTAAGATGTGAAGAGTTGCTGCTTTCCTCTCTCTGATATAATAGTAAATTGAATATCTTTGTGTTTAGGGCTGTTGGTCGGACATCAGCTTGAGCTCTGGGAACTCATTATTCTATTAATATAAAATAATCAATGACAGAAATAACCCCTCAATGTTGTGATACAGTTTGTTGCATTACATTTTTATTTTATGATGATTATTAGTGAATCTTAGCTTTTTTAATAATTATATTGATGAGTTTTGAATCAATGGGCTCTCTTCATGGGACTTTGTTAGTGAATAAGAATAAACACAATAATGCCAGTCTAATTCTTTAACTTATCATAGTGTTACTACTATCAGTAGTAACTCAATCTAGACTTGTTACTTTGGCTGTTGTAGTCTAATTAGGGATGAATATTTGCAGAATTGGATTTTTCAAAGTTCAACATTTAGGTGTTGAAGGAAGAAAAAAGGAACACTGACACAAACTGTCAGACTTTTAGACCTGGATATCAACTTTAAACACTCAAAACCCCATAATTCATCAAAACCATTCACCTTCTGTTGTTCACCTAAAAGCATATGTGATTATTCATATATGAAGCAAATAATGTGAACAAAATCTCTTGATGTAAGTGACTGGGAGTTATTTTAGTTTCCACTGGTTTCTCTTTGAACTTGTTTCAAGTCATCCCTTTGCATATGCATGCTTCCATCCATACATTTCAAGTGATTGGTTATTTAACATCAAAATGTAAAATGTATTCAACTAATTACACATGGGAATTGCTTAGTTTTTGATTCCTTTTGAAGGAAACGGTTAGTGTTTGTTTGAAGACCTGGACTCCCCATCACCCCTCATCACACACATTGTGCAGAGTGTGTCCTCAGGTTTGGTGACCCCTGTCATTGCACTGGAGCACGTTCTCAGGCCCCCGACACACCATGTGAATCTGATGGACGGGGGTGGGGTGGGTGAGCGGTGCTTTGGGTGAAGTGGGAATCAGTAGATATGAGGGAATAGAGGAAGTCGGAGGTGGGCTCACATCAAAAGATACAGTCTCTCTCTCTGTCTTTCTCTCTCTAACTAACGCACACAAACACACACACAATCACACTCACTGTCTTACACTTACCATTTGTGCACATTTTTATTTGAGTGTTTGGGTGGTGTGAATGAGACACATCAAAGCTGAAGCTTTTCTCATTTTTTTCAGTTTTAATTCACACACATGTACATACACACACACACTCACACACCAGCGTCCTCTCAGAGGTGTGGTGGTTTAAAACCAGCGGCGGGCAGATAAAAGCGTTAGCCCCTTTTTGCTCTGATGTCATCTCTCTTTCACTTTGTGTATCTCCATGTCTCTCTGTCACTCTCTCTCCAGCGTACACTCACCGTGGGCGGGTCAAAGTGACCCTCTCTCACTACAGAGAGCTGCGGTACAATCGGTAGACCTTTGAGCTACGTTTGAATTCCCATTCATCTTTCCCTCTGTCCCTCTTTCTCTTCGTCCCAGAAAGACCCATAAAAGATCAGAGACAAGTAGAGAAAGCAGTTGTTACTCTGTGGTGATAGTGGAGGAAGTAGTTAGCAGCAGAAAGTATTAATAGTTACTTACTATTCTTATAAATATGTGTAAATGCAATTATATGTTTATTTATATGAGGTGGAATTTTGCCTTGAGGTTGCAAGGAGAAAAATAGAAACATGCTTAATATAATGCACTCCAGTACAACTGGTAAGTGGACTTACTTACACTACATGTCACATTCACTCCATTCACACACACTCTCACACCGATGGCACATCCTTCAGTATCTTGCCCGAGGACACTTCGACGTGAGGGCTGGGGAAAGCTGGGATCGTCCGATTAGTGGGTGACCGGCTCTACCTCTAAACCACAACACCACCACTAACTATGACCTCAATAATAAACATAAAGTATAATCCAATTAGCACCTCTGTGACGGTGCCAAAAAACTTGAACATCAGAGAAGTCGACTTTATGGTAGAACAGTTGTATCGCATTAGACTGTACGGGTGTACCTAATAAAGTGGACATAGAAAGGTGTGTATATGTGTGTGTGTGTGTGTGTGTGTGTGTGTGTGTGTGTGTGTGTGTGTGTATATAATTTACTTATAAACTTATATGTATAGGTACTCTCTTACAGTACATACTTTATTTACCAACTCATTTATTTGCTAGTAAAGCACAACATACTATGTTATATCCAGGAGCAAAACCAATGTGTACTGTATAACTGAATGCGTTTATTTTTTATTTATATAACATTGCAATCTGTTCTTCTTGTTTCAGTCTACTTAAAATTCTCTCTGTTCATTGGTGAGAATTCCTGCAGGGTTATCTCTGTTTTGAGGATGTTGTGCTGCTTGTTGAGGTTTTGGTCAGTTTATGTGCTTGGTGTTATTTTATCCTTTCCCTTCTTCCGTAATCCCACGTGCATTATCTGCTGAGGCTTTAGTGCTCGTTTACTGGTTTACTGTTTAGAGCACATTACAGACTTTGGTAGATGCACATTTACCTCAGTGTGTGTGGGTGTGTTCTCTTCTTTTCCTTATGATATAGAATTTGAGGTTAAAGTTTAAGGTTGTTATTTAGGTTGCAAATGTTTTCAGGCTACATACGTATGTGTCTTTGTTCCTCTGGTCCCAACAACAGCAGACCAAAATCGAGGCCACAGTTGGCCAGAAAGTTGGCCTGGTGGTCAGCTCTTTCCTCGAAGTGACACAATGTTTCTCTGACTGTTGACCATCCCCTCTGCCTGCTGGCTCACAACCAGAGGACTGTGGTTTTTTTGAAAGAGCATCCACCCCAACAACAGCATGAGCTCACTGCTGTAATTAGCCTAAATATGAGTTAAACACATGTATTCGAGCATGGGTCTTTAAAAAAGATAAGGCTTAGTTGTCTTCTTTTTTCCCCCATCTTATGCACAAGCACTAACATCAACCAAAGGATAAACCAATATCTGTTGTTTAAACTTTGGAAAGTAGGGATCATTTATAGATTACAGCTCTTCAATAAAGTGACAGTGGCAGAAGATATTTCAATCAGAAAGTGATTGAAAGAGACAGACCACATCTGGAGGTGGTCTGACTTACACTGTGATGTTTGACAGTTATAAATGGAGTTTGTACAGTTTAGCCACGTTTTTTCTCACAAAAAAAATATCAAGAAAATTAGAGAAAGCTCCAGACATCCCTGTCTTCTGCAAAGAAAACGAAAGTAGAGCCCATACAGCAGCAAAGCTTCGCAAGATTCTTCAGGGACCAATGTGATGTGCAAGACAAGGGTTGCTCAGTTAACAGGAGTGCTGCAAAGCTTCTCCATCGTAAGTAACATTAGCCTCGTTAGCAAGGCTAATGAAAAGTCTCCATCTGTCACTCACAACCCCCGCCATACGTACTGTAGCAGCTCTTCAAGTGTATCCTGCACACAGTAGCTTCCCTTGGCCTGAGACGCACCTTGTTTATTGACAAGTCTGTCAGCCCCGCCGACCTATTTTGCAAAATGAGCCTGGATGACAATTTAGGGAAAAATGTGGATAAAGATTATTAATACCATGTGTAAGTGCAAAGGCCGGTGATCCAGTTTTAACACAAGCTGGTTATTTTACAATTGAAAAATAAACTTGCCACTTCCCTCACTAGTGGATAACCAACGTGATAAAAATGTGACTGTTTTAAAATGACCTGAAACTTATCTTTGGCATTTCTGTACTACAATGTTACCTGTTGATCGACATTAAAAACAATTACTGATATCTGCTGAGCTCATCATAAATATATACCGATACAGCCGATTCTTTGTTCAGCACTGTACATTATCAGTATCAATACAATGGATCGGCAAAACGACAAAAAAATGACCCAAGTTGTAATAAACCAGTCACTGTTTTTGACATCACCTGACATATTACTTGCCAAAGGATTTATCAATAATCTAAAAGTAAATCAACAGGTTAATTGACAGTTACAGTGATTGTTGGTTACACTGCAGGGTAAGTCCATAATGTTGTCTGTGTGTCTGACTGGTGCCCCACCATCTTTTTTTTTTTTTGATCAGATAAAACAGGAATTCATCTCTCAGCGCTGTTTAGACCAAAGTCTTGTCTTTTTCAGATGTCAGATTCTTGTCTATTATAGAAAAGTAGCTGGCGTAATTTCTCTTTATTGTCTGTCTTCATCTGTCCTTGTTTGATCTCACTCTTCTCTCTCATGCACTTCCTTCTTTCCTCTCATCTCTCAATAGCCATTTACTCCATCTGTCTTTTTTTTTGTATTTCCCCTTATTCAGTCTGTGCTGGTTCTGGTGTTAAAGCACCACTGACAAACAGGCCGACACACGTCTCTCTTCCTCTGTCGTTCTTCTTTTCTTTCAGTTTCTGCAGCGTTCCATGCCTATGTTTTCCAAGCTCTAGATAACGATCTTCTGTTTCTTTTCTTCTCTACCTCTCTTCATTTGCTGTTTTCCTTCAGGCCTCATGTCCTCCTGGATTGTGTGGATAAGGGACACCTGTTGCATTACTGTGGTGCTCAGCTGTTTGTGACTGTGTGTGTATGTGAGATCATAGATCAGTTTCAGGTGTTTTGGTGAGGAATGAACTTTAAAGAGTCAAGAAGACAAAGCAGGCAGGAGGGCAGCTATCAGGCTGAATAGAGCTGAGGATCTGATGGTCTTTAGGTCTACAAAACAAGTGCCTATTGAAGTCTGCTGTTGTGACTACTGGAAGAACCAAGACTGTTATCTTCAGATGGGATTACTTCAAATGAGTTGGGCAGGTAGATTTTGGCAAACAAACAGTGATAGTAATATTAGAAGATGCACCAAACAAAAAGATGGAAACAGAATTCTAAAATACTGCGTGCAATTTTGGACATACATGTGGTTTCATGACTTTGAGGACTGGAGTGGGCTCAACAAAATTAGGTAGGATTTCCCCCCAAAAATAACTAAAGTAATGTAATTGCCACACACCATGTTGAGATTGCTCATCATGATACCGGTCATTGTCATCAAACATAACATATTTAAGCACTTACTCCTCAAGAACACCACATTTAGTTTTGTGGACAGAGACCTGAGATATACAGATGGATCATTTAACCAGAACTTTAACTACAAAAACACAGCTTGCAGATGCTTTAAATATAGTTTTGCTCACCAAATGTCTTTTAGTTACTGAAATTGGTGAGTAAGTAACAAATAGCTGGTTATAGCTGTTTCTAAAGGCGGCCCAACGGTCAACAACAGAAAAGCCAACAGTTATAATAGTTGTTTAAATGGTGAAGATACACTTTCAGACTGTCTGTCCTGGAACACGTTTAGAGTTTTGCACTTTTTGTACACATAAAGAGGGTTTCTGTCAGTTTTGGTGATACATTAGTTTCTTTTACTTACTTAGCTGTATTTCTGGTCCCCTCTAGCATATTTTAGTATATTATAATAACACATTGCACCCAATAAATGGGAATCTAACTTAAATGAACATGAGGAAGTGGAAGTGTTAGCCTTTCATAACCTAAAGCCAGAGAACCTGCACTTAACTCTAGATGCACCTGTGAAGTTGTGTGACTTTGTTAAAATTGATCAAGGAGACTTGATAACCCCTGAGTTCACACTCTACTAAATTGCACTTGGCTCACAGAAGACACCAGAAGGAAAAGTCTGGAATTAGACCTCATATTGCATGAACAAGGCGGAACATTTAATGTGCGTGGAAGTCTGAGGCTTGTGCCTAAGACTGCCAGACAGTTTATGTAGTGTTCAGCAAACTCAAACAATCAAATGGTTAGAGTAACCTGTATGTAGGAAGTTCTGCCCAAGTTGAGAAACTTTCCAAAAGGTTTTCTGCTTGTCATTACTTACTTTTTTGTCATACTTTTTTAATGTGAGGAAATGGTAAAAGTTGAAAGGGATGAGCATCTGTAATCTTTTTAAAGAAGAGTATTAAGAGCACACTGTTTAAAGCAAATTCCGTGATTTATTCTAGAAAAGCCCCCACATTGAAAGCTCCCAACATAGCACAGACTGAATGATGTTTTCAACACACTGCTGTTCAGTATCACTGTCATTTGTGGTGATTTTTTGTTTAGTTGTCTTGTTCATACGGGTCATGATACAACATATTACCTTATTGGGGTCGGAGTTCCTTTTAAACCTAGACTATTTTGTTTATTATCTACAGGTAGACACGGCTGGATTAGTGTGGTATTTAGTGGGAGGCAATAAACTGACACACATTAACACCAAGTTATAGGCTCTATAACCTTTGTTCTCCTGATCTTGGCACTTCCTCACCTCTCCAGCAGACTTTTAACACCAAAGCTGACTTGTGCAACACCTTAGGGCTAATTAGATCTCATAAATGCACACATAGAGCAACACATATGGATATTATTATTAAAGCCATCATTTTATGACATGCGGGGATGTGATACATTCTTGTTCCACATTAAGATAGAAGATTGTTGTGTTGGTTGGAGTCCCACAATTGACACTTTCTTAAAAGAGGTTATTTCCTCATAAATACGGAAACATTCAGACACCCTAGAGTATCACATTGTATCATAAATGAGTTTATTAATAAGATGTTAAGACACAAGTACTTACCCAAAGACTTTCTCCACAGGTTGTCAACGTCCAATCGGTCTTTCCAGAGGCAAGGCAAAGGTCTGCTACTACAGCGGCTGGTACTACTGCCAGAGCTGCCATCAGGACAACTCCTTCCTCATCCCGGCACGCTTGCTGCACAACTGGGACACCAGCAAGCACAAGGTGGGAAAACACACACAATGATATGCAAATACCCACCAACTCAACGATCTCACTGCACCAGCATTGAAAGTGTGCAGGATCTTGTAATGTGTATAAATATTAGGATATGGATAAACATTAGGGAACTATTGTTCTATTTTCCAGTAAGCGTAAGAGTTTTTCCGGACGTTAATTTGTCCCCTTTTACAAGGAATTCTGGTCAATCTGGACCACACTTATTTTCTTCGAATAAATGCGTTTTACGATAAAAGTCAAATGGTTTCACTCACACAAATCATCAAGGAATATTCTAAGGCAGCATTCACTTTTTTAAACCTGGCTCAACTTTTCCCACTATGCAACGCAACGTCATCTGGCAAGGCACTGCAGTGGCCATTCAAATGCATACAAGCACACATTTCTGGTAATTTATGTAACGCGAATGTCGTATTTCAACGTAGTATTAGGAGGATCTTCTTGAATTGTATTTCATTTTTTACTGGTACCTGAAACAACATGCAACAACGCAACCGCCTTGCACTGAAATCAAGTGTAATTTTTCTTGACTTTTGTGCTGATTGGTGCAGATGAGAGGAAATTCAGTTCCACATTTTGGGAAATTTCTTGTCAAGAGTTTAATTGAGAAAATTGACACCACTTTCATGTCTGTCAGCTAAATATGAAACCAGGAGATGTTAGTTTAGCTTAGCACAAGGACTGGAAACCATTGGAAACAGCTAGCTTGGCTCTGTCCAAATGTAAAAGAAATCAGCCTACCAGCACCTCTAAATCTCAATACGTTGTATCTTTATTTGTTAAAGAAATGTCAGGTTTTAGCCCTGCATCATCCCTTCATGGAACGTACAACTTGGTGGGTATTATCCCTACTCTCTGTTGTTGCAGTGATCCTGATGTAAACTCTGATGTGTTCCTCAAGGTGTCCAAACAGGCCAAGGAGTTCCTTGAGTTTGTGTATGAGGAGCCTCTGCTGGACGTCCAGCAGCTCAACCCTTGTCTGTATGAGCACTGTGAGCCTCTCAGCATTGTGCTGCGTCTCCGTCAGCAGCTCCAGTCACTGCGGGCCTACCTGTTCAGCTGCCGAGCAACTGTTGCTGAAGACCTCAGACGAAGGTATGTTGGTGGCGATGTCTGTCGTGTTGGGGTATTTTTTGTTGCACTTTCCAAAAGAAATTTGCAAAGTGATTCTTAATTTAGAGCACTGTTTCCCAACCTTCTTTGGCTTGTGACCTTTTAAAATGAAGCAACATCTACTCATCATCATACATTACAGATGTCTAAGGATTGTGAATAGTTGTTTTTGATTCATGTTAAGTGGTCCACAAGCATCAATTTCCCAGTAATTCACAATATAAAGTTTGAAAAAAACAAAAACATTTTTACAGCAACCCCTTGAATGATTCTGACCACCAGGTATGGTTAAAGGTTATGTAAGGTTAAACACCCATAGTGATACATACACTTTATGTGCTGTGTATATATCCAGTATAACAAATAGGAAGCACATGTTTGGGCAATATTAAGGCATTTTACACATACATTGTGAAATTTATTCACCTGTACACAGCCTTAAATGTCATCAGTAAAATCTAATAAATACTGAGTGTGGCATGGTTGCATCTTTACTACTTAAAAGCTATTCTGCAGCTGAACACTGGAGATTTTATTATAATTAGACAAAATTACTGGATTAATAATCCTCTTTTGTGTCATTAAAGGACATTTGCGGTATCAATTGCAGTTATGTAGTGCTCTCTTATGACCAGTTGGCAAGAGTTTGGTCCTGTACAACTGCAAGTTTAAAGGGTCAGTTCTCAAATCATACAAACAGAAGCATAACAAAACTATTTGCATGGTTAGGTAAAAGCAGGAGTAAACAAAATTTTGGTTGAAATGACATTAACAGGCAAAATAATAGGTGTTTGTGGCTCCTCCGATGGTAAACAGAGGTATGGAGCACATCTAATTTATTTTTAACATTAGCAGAGTTACACTGACAGGTGCACTAAAACATGTGTTATATTCCACTATTGGTGACCAGACACAGACTTTTAACATCTCTCATATGTGTGTGTTTACATGAGTATGTCTGAGTGCATGCATGTATATTGCCTTAACTTTTATCTGCATGCATTCTGTGTGTGTGTGTGTGTATATATGTTGCATACACATAAAGGATGTGTGGCTGTATATATGTTCATGTGTGTGAAGGTTGGGGGGATAGAGGGTGACTGTTTATCTGAGTGGGGTCCCACACTGAAAGCCTTGTCTGTGAGCTGATGGATGCTCCTTGTCCAGGTCACTAATACACTCTAATCCAACTGCCATGTCTAAGGGCGAATCATCCACCTCAGCAGCACAAATCTTTAATTTCAGTAAATGCGAGTCACTGGAAAACCAAAATGTTATATTTGACTTTTAATTGTGAGCTAAATAAGAAACATTTGCTATCAGGCCTATATTTTATTCTTCTTTAAATTGCATCATACATTTTTTAGCATTTGTAATTTGTGTGTATTAATATACTTCAAAGTTATGACAAGTGAAGATGTTATGATTTTACTAATTTGACAGAAGCAGAATGTACATTAATAACAAAAGACAAAGTGTCAAAGGCCACAGATGTCAGACGTTGGCCATGTAGCATTAGCCTGGTAACAGCAAAAAATACAAATTGTTTGTGATGCAGTAAGCAGAACAAGGCAAGTGTGTGTGTGTGTGTGTGTGTGTATAGTATGATTCAGGCCACGTATCATAAAATCTGTCAGTCCCCTCTAACTCTCCCCATGTTTCCTGTCACTCAACATGGTGTCAACTATTAAACAGTTGACAGTAGAAGGTGTCAAAAATGCTACACAGTCTTAAAGTGAAATGGCAATGAATGATAAAGGTAAATGTAGAAGTGTACTGCTGATTTGGACATGAGCCATGGTTTTATATTTATAGAAAATTAAAGTTTGGAAAATGAACAGAATTAAGCACAGCGGTTGTCCATGAATATCAACATAAGATGCTTAAACTGTGAAATATGTCGTTATTTTTGATCTTCATAAAGACTTTTAGTCTCCCATTATTTAAATGTTTTTCACCTCGGGCTTGCAAAGTAGCTTCAAACCAAATTTATCAGCCTTAAAGAATCCAAATTAGTCATACCCTGTTGCAGCACAGAGACGAGCAGCATCATGGCGTTCTGTGTTTACTTCTGTCCCATTAGCTAGTGCCGGCTAGTGCCCCGCCACTTCCAAACACTGCAGGATTGATGAGGGCCATGGCGCTAAAACCTTCCCCTCTTCATCAGTCTACTTCAGGGAGGGATCTGAAGAGAGATGTCTGTTGCATACAAGCACAGAGCCACGGATATACAATTGAGTGATCACAACCACATGAAGCACAAGTTAGAGAGCACTTTATTTTTGGCCCTGTGCAGCAGTTCTCACTGTCAGAGGGTTACAGCATGTTGCAAAGGCATCTTTGACCTGCTTAACATGCACCCTCATGCAGGGTATACACTGTTATTTTTTAATTTTGTTGTTCAGTCGAGGTGTGAATTGATCTCCGTAAATAAATCTCTCGGGTAATTGTGTCCGGATGTTCATTTCTTAGTAAAAGCTCAAGAATTTCATTCAAATGGTACGTACACGGACAGTACTCTTAAAATGTAGGTGGGGTTGTTATAAGAGGCTTCAGGGCCAAACCCATTTACTTTTGTAGCAGTTGGGAAACAAGAGACAAGACCTTTCTTGCTGTAACTGACACACTATAACCTATGCTGTACATTTACAGATTGACAACTTACTGGTAGCCTTTTCCTCTTGCTATTTGCTCTCTCTCACTTGTACCCAACCACACACTTGCTACACGTGTATGTTGTTATTAGCATACAAGAACAACACGGAAAAGAAGTGGGTGTAATCAACGTCACCTATTGGTTTATGGACTAGCGTTTTGAAGTCTTGAGTTTGGCATTTTGGCTGTCGCCTCATTGGTTTTGTGGAACCAGAAGTGACCATATTTGGATGAGTAGGTGGAGCTACCTAGCTAGCTTGGTTAGCAAGGTGTATCTGTAGCTCATGTTAACAGTTATATAAATTGGGATGCTAATTTTGGCTGGCAAAAAACAAGCTTAAAACAAAACATACTTAATGGAAACAATGAACAGCAAGACTCCTTAGAGTGTCTTTTTGTACAAACAAATTCTGAACAAGACATTTTTATGCGACCGAAACGCTACAATTAACTTTCATGAACTAAAAACACTCTGTGAAAGGATCAAAGTTCTTAGACAAAAACACTGACAGCACCCAAAACCAAGTTCAGAGCTAGTTAAATGTACACAGTGCAGTGGATACAATTCGCCTCTATTGTAATTGACAGGTTGCTGTGATAGAGACTTGACAGTCACAAGCTAGCTATGCCCTAAAGCATACCCTGCATTATTGTCTATTTTCCTCTAAATGGGATCATAATTTACAAAATGAACATCATGCTATATTGAAGAAAAAGAAACTAGTGACTGAGGCCAGAAAGTCATTGGGAAAGTGTTTACTGAAGTAATAAAGGGTCATTTTGTCATAGACTCCAATGCAATCTCACTTCTTTTAGCAAACAGTGGAGTCGCCTCCTGCCAGCCATTTGAAAGAATGCAAGTGAAAGGCATTTCCAAGTTGGTTTCACTTTTCAGACCCGGAAGTTGCTACTTGGGAGGGAGACAAGCTTTTATTGCACTTCTGAGCTTTGTCTTAGCTAGGGGTGGGAATCGCAGGGTACCTCACGATACGATATACGAAACATGGCTCACGATAACGATAATATCACGATACAGTAATTCTGCGATAATCAATATATCACTTGACAATCCTAAAGTGATACATCACGATATCTGTCTAACTATTAATACAAAATGCCCTTGAAAAAGTTTACTATTTATTTGCTGCAATTCCAAACTGTTAGAAAACAGCATAATTCTGCACAGTCTGTAAATAAAACTACAGAGCAACTATGAAAAAGTATTGTCAGAACATTTGTTTAGAAAAGGCAAATAAAATGCACATTCACTGAATTTTTACTGCAAATACAAATTGCTGTGTACCACCTAAGTCTAATCTGTACATCACATTATATTAATTGTTAATAATAATTAACTGTTCAGTGATACATCATTGTGCTGCCCTTTCTCTTCCTACTGATAGCTGTATTTTTAGGCCACTGGGAATATTGGGTTTGAGTTTTGACCCTTTGGGGTTGCTGTAGCTGGTCTGTGAAGCAGTAGAGTAGTAGATCAAGACAGAGAAGTTAGCACGATTATGGAGGTTCCTATTATATGTTAGCATTGAGCTAACCGTTGAAGCGCTATTGTTTAAATTAATATTAGGTATCGATGATGGGCTGGAATATCAATACAGTATCATGGAAAAATGTACAATGATATATTGCCGTATCGATTTATTGTCACACCCCTAGTCTTAGCATAATCTGTTCTGCCTGATCTGGTAAATTGTGCAGCTATAGCGCTGCTAGTTGGAAGATGCATTGAAATGTAAATGCATGGCTTGCTACAGACAGAATTAATTAAAATAAAACCCATTCAAGAAACAAATAATGGATTATTTGCATATGGATATTTACACACGCTAGAATTAATCATGGCAGTGTTTTTCTGGAACTAAACTTTAATGGGCAGCTCGACAGTCATTGCCGATTGATTCAATACATTGTCAATTCTCAATTGAATTGACAATTGGCCAAAGCCTGTAATTGTGGTTGTTAGGGTCAGTCAGGGTGTGTGCTGTACACATTGGTTTCTGTGGTGTTTATAGGTCCATATAGTCTTTGCAAGGATGTTTACAAAGTGATTCCTGGTATTTAAGGTGTGTTTATTAGGTGAATGTGAAGTTGTACTAGATGGCTGGGGTAGTGGAATAACAAGTTGCAGCTGTAGGAGTTAGTAGGTACTAGTAGAAATACATGTAGTGGTAAGAGCAGTTGCAAATGCTTAGCTCTTAGTCTTTCCTGGTCACAGATTTGGTCCTTGTCCGGCGCATGTGTATAAATGAGGGTTGAAATTTACAGCATCGACATCTTTGACACTGTCAACACAAGTTGAGAGGTGTAAGTTTGACAAAGATTTGGTTTTGGTTTGCATTAGATTGTAATATGTTTAGTTTATCCACTCCCTGCACACATGTATGCACACACAAACACACAAATATTTGCAGGACTTCCTACACCTGCTGGTTCACACACACTTATTCAGGTCAGACGCTCCTTCCGTACACGATCACAATCACTAAGTGATGACAGGATTTTAATTAATGATAGGTGTGTCTGCTGGACTGGATAGAGCACTGAGGATGGTGAAATGAAATATGGAATTAAATACTATCAGGTCTTGTACAAATATTGTCATGCATGGATCTGTATCTTCTGTTTGTAATCTAATCCTAAAATGTGTTGGTTCTCAACTACTTTTAACAACAACAACACACACTTTAAGGATGTGTTCATCTGGACATGTCTACACAATTAACAAGGAGCCAGTGCATATTTGATTAGTGTGTGTGTGTAGTCTTATGAATGCTGATGTGGTAACCATTGGTAACGTACCAAACAGAGTAGTTTATCAGTGGTGCCTATCAGCATGAGGTGTCTAGATTACATGCGCACACACATTTGAATACACTCACACATACTTGTGTTTTGGTGACACTCATCACAGCTTAGACAGGATTTAACATGGTGCCATCCATCATAGTAGTCTGAGAGGAGGCCTCATAACACACACACACACACACAATCACACACACACACACACACACACACACACACACACACACACACACACACACACACACACACACACACGTTTGTTCCTCTATCCTCATTGGGACATCTCATTGACATAATGCATTTCCCCACGGTGACGTTGCATCAGTTAATGTGGATTCAGATTAAATCCCCACCGAGATATAAAAACATGGAACAATCATCACACACACACTCACCAGAGCTCTCCTGTGTTTCCACTTAATGTTAGACAATATAAAGCTATTGACTCTAGATTAATAGTATTACTTTGTTTAGCACCATAGGCTGAAAGGACAGTGGTTAAACATTACATCAGTGTACTGCTCATATTTACAGTACAGTATGTGGTCAGGTTCAAAATCGACTGCAAATTTAAGCTTGAGCTTGCCTTAACTTTGTGCTTTAGTCAAGTCAGTTTTATTTATATAGACCAATATCACAAAATTGCCTCAAGCGGTTTTACAATGTGTACAGTATATATCCTGTAATCAGATTTACAGAGACAGTCAGTCACCTGGATCAGCTAGCTAATGTACTTCATTAGCTTCCTGAAGTTAATTAACTTTACATCAGTTTAGTCACAACATTAAAAGCAGGATGCCGTTTATGTTCCTAGTGGCCATCCCAGGCTCCCTAAACAGTGTTTAAAAGTGGTCTGTGTTTTTTGTGAAGAATGTGTCCAATCAAAATACCATACAGTTCATTCTACATAATGAAAACAATGCACATCCTTATACTGTATGTGAAATTGTACTTGTATGTACTCTTTTCAAATAGAAATGTTTTGCCTTGGTGGGACAATAAAGCTTATCTTATTCTTTAATATGTACATTTTAAGACTGAAGTATCATAGTTTAGTTCCTCTTTATTCTGTGTATTGCATGTGGAAACAATGACAATAAAAATATAATACATTCTACCTTGAGCACGCTGGAGATTGTGGTTATTATTTTGACAGAATTTTTGACAGGAAGATGTGCTGACCTGCTTCACAGAGAATGATGCATTTAAACCCGTGTGTCTTTTTACAGGATCTTCCCCAGGGAATACCTGTTACAGCACATCCACCTATACTCCATGGCTGACCTGCAGCAGGTACGTGTGTCACACACACACACACACACTTGTATGTATATAGTTATTTTGATGCCGTTCACATGTCTGAAACATTAACTAAAACTGAAACAAATGCATTAATCATTCTTAGTCCTTAGACCAGTCTGATGCTCACTTCTTCAAAGTGCCTGTTTTTTATGATAAGGACTAGTTTAGATTAAGTTTTAAAGTTTAATTTACAACAAAAGATTTAAGTTTAGTTCAATTTCAATGTATGCTGGGAGTAGCTTAGTTCCAGATCTCCAAATTGCTGTCCACATCTTAAAAAATGAAACATGTCTGGTGTTGTGGAAAACATTCAGTGCATTTGTGACACTAAAATTTTAAATATTTTGTTAACAATGTTGTTATCGCCACCTGCTCCTTATACCCTATTATCTGTTATATGCCTACTTATTTGTGAGTTATTGATTCAATTAAAGGATTAAAAGTCATTCATCTCAACAGGAGCCTTGCTACTAAAATCGATCTTGTCAGGGTATGGACAGCTTTACATAAACCTAATAAAATCACCATTTCTGAATCTTGGCTTCATAACAAAATCACTTATGATGAGGTGGGAATTGATAATTATGTTTTATATAGAGCTGATGGGACATCAAGAGGAGGAGGTGTGGCTGCTTATGTTGATACAAATCTGGTCTCTGAGTGTGTGTCTCTCCTAATGTTGCGCCTACTAACTTTGAGTGTCTTTTTACTAATATCATCTTTTATGAAAACAAACGGCTTACTATCGGAAATATTTATAGACCTCCGTCTGCTTCCATTGATTCGTTAAATGGTATCTTGGCTACTATTAATTCTCTTGACAGACACAATGAACTGATCATACTCGGTGACTTTAATAATAACTGGTTGGATCGGTCTTCCTCAGGTGATAGAAATCTTTTAGGCAGTGTAAGCCTTACTCAGTTAATTAAAGAACCTACGAGAGTTGATGGCCTTTCTTCTACCTTGCTTGACTGGATCCTTGTTTCCAATCTGGATAGGACTGTCAAATCGGGTGTTTTATCAGACTGCTTTAGTGACCATTCTATTAGGCCTGGGCGAAAAATCGATTGAATGAATTAATTCGAATTTTTTGTTGCGGGCGATTTAAAAAATAAGTAAATCGAGTTTTTGTGTAATAGCACATTTTTGGCTCCCCGGGGTTTCCGTAGTGTTCGTTTCCCATAGCGACAACATCATACACTAAACAGCAACAGCAAGCGACAAAATGGCTACCGGTGAGAGCGGGAAGTTTGTTCCCAAGAAAGGAATAAAGTCATCTGTTGTTTGGAACTGGTATGGGTTTGCTGCGACAGATGTGGAACAACAGACACCACGCTGCAACATTTGCCTAAAGCCTATCGCAGTGAAAGGCAGCAGCACCACAAACCTATTCCAACACCTGAAACAGAGACATCCAGCCGAATATGAAAAATGCCAGTCTCTCCGCGATGAACAAAGCCGCACTGACCAACAAACCTTATTGCTTTCCTTAAGTAGGGGGGGAAATCGGAAAAAATCGTAAATTGAATTAAAGTAAATAAAATCGGAGATTTTATTTTTAGGCCATATCGCCCAGCCCTACATTCTATAATTGGTCACTAAGAAATAGAAAATTAAAATACAGAGTTCCCCCTACAAATACATCTCAATAAGTCAATGTCCATCCATTGTCAACTGCTTATCCTGCGTACAGGGTCGCGGGAAATAAGGCAATGTAAAATATTAATGTTGATTATTACATACGTGATCTACGTATTAGATATTAGATGGGATGGGCTTCAACTAATTCCACTTGTGGAAGAGGCAAGGAACTTCTTCCACACTGAAAACCGTAATTGATAAACATGCTCCTGTGAGAACCATTAAAGTCAAAGGTAGGCTTTTACCATGTATAACCCCTGAATTACTTCAACTAATTAAACAAAGGGATAAAGCTTGGGTTAAGTTTCGCTTCTCAAAAGATGAATCTGATGGGACATATATAGACAGTTAAGGAATAAATGTAAAACTAGGAATGCCAAATCTAATTACTATAGAGACCGTTTCTCTCGTGATTTCAACAACCCTAGGCACTTCTGGAATCACTTAAATAACATTCTTAACAAAAATAAAAAAACTTCTGTGAAACAAATTTGCAAGGATAATGACATTTTATGTGATCCTTTGCATATAGCTCATGCTTTTAATCATCATTTTTCGTCTTTAGGTAGTTCAAAATCTGTTTGGTCTGATGGTTTGGCATGGTCTTCTAATTCTTCCCTGCCTGTTGGTTCTTTTTCATTTAAAAGATCATGCCTACTGATGTCTTTAATGTATTACATGACCTTAAATTAAAGTGCAGCGCATGACCAGATGATCTGGAGGCTAAGTTTATTTAAATTGCAGCTCACATATTGATGTTTCCTCTTGCAGATCTTTTTAATCTATCATTAACTACCTGTACTGACACAAATTTGGAAAGCTGCAAGAGTGACACCTCTTTTCAAAGGTGGAGACCAATCGAATGTGAATAATTATCGGCCGATTTCTATCATTTGTGCAGTTGCTAAAATATTTGAGAAATTAATTTTTAATCAACTGAGTACATTAATAATTATAACATTTTATCTCCACATCAGTCTGACTTTAGATTAAATTTTTCTACTTCAACTGCTCTCTTAAAATTTACAAATTATGTCTTCTCGGGTTTTGATAATGGTCATTTAATTGGTGCTGCTTTCATTGATCTCTCAAAGGCCTTTGATATGGTTGACCATTACCTTCTACTGGATAAGCTTTACTCTGTTGGTTTGAATAAACATGCTGTGCTCTGGTTTAACTCCTATTTGCATAAAAGTGTGTTGTTTACCAAGGATTCCAGTGAGATTATTTAATTGTTGATAAAGGTGTTCCTCAAGGCTCAACTTTAGGCCCCTTTTCTCGATCTTTATCAATGACCTGGCACAAGTTTGTTCTCATTGTGAATTAGAGCTTTATGCAGATGACACTGTCATCTATACTTCTGACCGGGATTTGCTGCAAGTTCAAAGAACTCTTCAATCTGACTTTGATAAAGTATAACAGCCGCTGTTCATTAATAAACTTGTGTTGAACATGAAGAAATCCTGATGCATGGTGTTTTCCACAATACAAAATCGCCCTTGTGCTTCTTGTTTTGAAATAAAGTTTTTAGATGGGTCCCTTATGCAGAATGTGGAGGAATTTAAATATTTGGGCCTCTGGCTCGACTCCAACCTTACCTTTAAGATACACATTGACAATATCCAAGGATGTGATTTTCATACAGATCTGTAATCATGCAGATCTGTAATAAAAAAAATGGGGGGGTGGGGGTACAGGACCTGGCCGAGTGAAATGGAAAGGATCTAGGTTGACGTGTGTAAAGTTTTCTTCCTTTCTAAGTATCAAGGATGTTCGTTTACGCTCAGCTGCCAATTCCACACCTGCGCAGTGTGTACCACAGGTGTGCTCTTGCGCATCAGTGGTATGTATGTGTATCAGTGTATGTTGGGCAGTAATAGGCCTACTGCAAAATTACTTTTCCCAGTAAAGACTAATGTAACGGATTACTATTTCCAAAACAGTTGTTTTATTACAGTTACTAATCCAAGTAACGCTGCGCTACTGAACGCGCCATCCCTGACGTGAATACGCGACCGCGCTGCAGCTCAGCGGGACTGGACCACATGTTGTTAAAGTCAGCTGTTAGCAAAGAAGCTAAAGGACAACTGGAGAACAGGGAGAGAGAGGTATTTTCGACAGCTGTAAGTAACAATATTGCCATTACTGTGTCACAGTCTAAGATGCTGAGAACATTGTCTTCGGTTGTAAACTTTGTGCGACCAGCAAAACGTTTTCAACCGCCAACAGTTCTACTTTTATACTTAGGCTAATTGAAGCATCAGCTAAAGCAACACAGCAACGTGAAACTCAAAGAGAAACTCCTGCCGCTGCTGCCAGTGATGCTTGGACTCATCGGGAGAGAGTGGCGTTATAATAGGCTATCACCCAGCAGTGGGCATAAGTAGAGTAGCTTATATTACTTTTTTAAGGAGTAGGTCTATAGCCTATGCTAAGTAACTAGTAGTTATATTATTTCTGAGTAACTTGCCCAACACTGAGTTGACAATAAGGATCAGATAAATTGGGAATGTTTTGAGCTTGTTAGATGTCTAATGTTTACTTTGACTTTGTTGTCTATTGATCACTTATGTAGCCTATACACTTTGCTGTGTGAGTGGTTGCTTTTTAAGTCGTGTTAAAGGTTTTTCTTGTGAATGGTTGTGACAGGGTTTAGGCTATATAAGGCCTTTTCACATGGTCACTCCGCGCTCCTCATCAACAGACAAGCAAACAAGCGCTCCGCGAGGTAACCGTGGCATCGGCTTCTGTGTGACTGGCGTGATCCCGTTAAACTGTCGCAGTTGTTCTCGTCTCACGTACACGCCCGCCTGCTGCCAGAGTTGAAATGTCAAACTTTTTCCTACAGTTTATCAACAGATAGAGACTGATCAGCTGTTTGAGTTTCCTGAAGAATGTAAGTGTTTCTTTAACAGTCAGGCCACCAGGTCTTAAATAGGCAACAACCTTTGCTGCTGTCTCTTATTCATTAAAAATCATCTATTAACTTCAACTGAACTAATTTGAAAGTTAGTAGTTACATTATTTAGTTATAGACTCAATTATTTCATGTTTCATGTTGCACATTTAGCTGTTGAAGTTTGGTAAAAATAAATACAAAATAGTAATTATTATGGAGAGGTTGCGATGGCGCAGTGGATTAGACCCTTGTCTTTGATTCCCACTGCAACACATCCATTAAATAAGTTATTGTCATGGGTCCTGCTTTACCTTCCATGTTAGAGCCACCGCCAGTTTAATCAGGGTGTCGGGTGGTCTCAGTATATTTTCCTGCTTTTTTGCCCTTTGCCAATCACATGCCTGAATATCATTAGGAAAGTACTGTATATGGATGTCTTAACACTCTG